CTATCTTCTGTGTTTTGTGGTATGGTGCTTTTAGTCCAAGTAATTCCTGATTTTTCCATATGAGCTCCTTTTCAAGGTGATACCTTCATGGTTATGATTACTATGTTAAGTATTTTGTCCCTTTTGTAAGAACACAATGTTCTTCTCTGTTGCTACGTTGGTTTTGTTTGGAAGTTTATCTAGTTTACCTCAGATTTGTTGAGGTATACATTTTTACATACAGGTAAAAGACAAGCTGGGAAAACTTTTTTTTTTTTAATTGATGGGGTTTCTAATGTATTATTTACTCACTTTCATGAAAGAAATTCTAGTATGGGAGGAATGAAGTCATTTTGATCAATTGCAAAAAAATTAACATGATTTTTTCTTTCTTGTTTTTTCTTTTTTTTGGTACCAGGGATTGAACCCAGGGATGCTTTACCACTGAGCCACCTCCCCAGCCCTTTTTATTTTTATATTTTAAGACAGGATCTTGCTAAGTTGCTCAGGGCCTCGCTAAATTGCTGAGGCTGACTTTGAATTTGCAATCCTCCTGCCTCAGCCTCCTGAGCCACTGGGATTACAGGTGTGTGCCACCGCACCTGGCAACATGGTATTATGTTTTAAAGAGTCGGACAGTTTAGGTTGTGCTATGGTAACAAAGCCCCATCTTTGGTGCTGAAAACAGCATAGGTTTCTTTCTTTTCATCTGAACAGCGTTGAGGCCTGGATCTATAGTATCTTTCTTCAGGGAGGAGCTCTGAGTCCACGGAAGCTGAGGGAGATGGCACCGCTTTCTTCTACAATTGCCAGACTGGAAAAAAGACCAGGGCAAATCTCCTGCTGTCTCCCAAAGACAAACTTCCCTTCTATTCCTGTTTCATTAGCCAAAGTATCCTTAACTGGAAGGGACCTGGAAAGTCTCTCCCTCCCAGGAATCTGCAGGAAGACTGGACCATTCTAGCCACCACACACTCTCCTGCTTATCCCCAAACCTGTTTTTGTCTTTTGTTCATTGATTTTTTTTAAATTCCTTTTTGTTATGTGAGTCATAAATCCTTTCTAGTCTTTTTTTCTTTAAAAAACAGAAAAACAAGACTAAAAGTTAGCCAGAGTTCATTTCTACTGCTTAACAAATACCCCAGAAGGTGTCAGACCTGGCTTTACACGCTCTGTGAACCGGACAGATTGGGAAAGTGAACTTGAGCATACACATCCTGATTTTGAAGCAAGGACACACAATTTTTTTTTTCAGGGACAACATTTTAATCAGAAAAGAAATAGGACATGCTCTGAGCCAATATCTAGACCCAAATCATTATTGGTAGCCACCACATGTCAGGCAGAGAGCCAGGTGTTTTTGCATATGTTAGCTAATTCAATTTAATTCTTTATAAACACAATGTCAGGTGAATCTTATTATTCATAATTTATAGATGCAGAAACTGAGGCTCAGAGAGGCAAAATGACCTGCCTCAAAAACCATTAGCTAACAAATGACAGCTCTGTTTGGACTGTATCATCTGATAATGCAGAAGGATACCAGAATAATGCAATGTGATTTTAGGTATGTTCGGTTTGGTTTGGCAAAACTCTGTGCTTCAAGAAAGGTGAAAAGGGGCCTTGAGTACCAAGGTGACAGGTTGGAATCGATCAGTTAGGCAGTGAGTCAGCAAGGGGATATTTTTATTTAAAAAAAAAATGAAAAGGCCTGGGGATGGGTTGGGGCTGTAGCTCAGTGATGGGGTGCTTGTCTAGCATGCGTGAGGCCTTGGGTTCCATCCTCAGCACCACACAGACATTCCTCCCAAACAGTGATCTGCTATTGTTGCCAAGGAGCCCAGTTGGAGAAACACTGTGAAAATGTGGGGCTGAATGAGCATGCATACTGGCCGTGGAACCAACAATATTCTAGCATCTCTAGACCCACTTTGGATAAAGTTGGAGGTCACCCTACATGCACGGCTCCTACTTTAATTGTTGGTTTCTCAAAGACTTGCTCCTAGAAAGCACCTCCATTAGCTGGGTGCAGTGGCGAACGCCTGTAATCCCAGCTTGGGAGGCTGCGGCAGGAGGACCGCAAGTTCAAAGTCAGCCTCAGCAATTTAGTGAGGCCCTAAGCAATTCAGCAAGACCCTGTCTCAAAATAAAAAAGGGCTGGGGGGCTTGGGCTATAGCTCAGTGTTGGAGCGCTTGTCTAGCATGTGTGAGGCCTTGGGTTCGATCCTCAGCACCACACAAAAATAAATAAAGATATTGTGTCCATCTACAACTAAAAAAAATATTAATAAAAGGAGGGAGGACTGGGGATGTGGCTCAGTGGTTAAGCACCCTGGGTTCACAGTACCAAACCAAACCAAACAAAAAAAACAAGAAAACAACAACAAAATAGAGCCAACCGTCTAAGTGTGCAATGGGCAAAACTCTCCAAAAAAAACAAAAACAAAAACAAAAAACCCTGTCCTCTGCCTGATCACTGGTGTGGCCCCCTTATCTTATCAATAGAACTGCATTCTTTCAAGACTGTGGCTATAGGGGATGACAGAGAGAAGGAAGGGAGAGATCTCCTTACTACCAGAGTTCAGGCAAGGGACATAAATGTGCAGGTCCATATGCTCCTTCTAAAGGCTCATCTGCATCTCACCTCTGGCTGAAGTTGGGAATAGGCTGATTTTCCAATAGAAACTTCAGATTTTTTTTTTTAAGGGAAATCCTGCAATTTTAAACAATTGCAGCTTGTAGCTTATTTACATTTTTTAGTATCACTCTCAGTTTGCCACCTCTGGGTTAGATTTTTAACGCCATGTTATCGAAACCTTTCCAACCATTTCATCCAAACCTTTCCAAATTTGGTAATGCACTTATTTCTCAAACTGGACTCATAACAGGTTGGTTTCAGATGGTTGAAAGAGTGGACCAAGAAATGTGAGCATGAGGGCCTGGGCCAGGGGGCTGGGCACCCTGGAGGCTGAGTCTTGAAAGGGGGATGGGCCAATGCAGTAGAAGAGTCAGCTTCCTGGCTGGCTACTCTGGGGCCGATCTGGGAGTGGAAGGAGTGCCCGCCAAAGCCTGGGCTCCTTGCAACTTCTGTTGGCCCCTTCCCATTGACAGTACAGTAATACAGTTGTGCTGTGTTTGAAAAAGCATCCCTAGTTACACGGAATGATTTACAGGACACCAGACTCTGCATTTCAGAGGTCTCCTGTGTACCATAAAAAATATATTATAAAGGAATAATCTTTATCTAAACTAAAGCTGCAGTGAAGGAAACTCATGTCCAGCTGAGAGCAGCAGTGAGCTTTTGTTCACTCAGGGAAAAGTCCGTGTTCTTCATCTTATTTGATTAACATTTTTTTTTCCCTCTTTGGCACTAGGTATTTTGTTAATATTTAGACATTATATACATTTTCTTTCAGCTGTTGTTCCTATTATGTGATCAAACAAAACAGGGGAAGTCAGCCACATCAGCAGAAGAGGGGAAAGCAGATCTGCCAGGCACCCAGCTGTGGCTAGCAGGGAAGAAGGGGCTGAATAGAGCCTGCCCCAGGAGGAGACTGGCCAGGCTGTGGTGCAGGGCCAGCCCTGTTCCCAGGAAGCAGAGGTGGCTACAGAGCCCCAGTTGATTGCTTTGCCTCTTCCTTTCAATCCCACCCTGTCATTTCCCTCACTTTCCTGAGCAAAGGCAACAGCAGAGTCTACTTTGGACACTTCTAGAGCCTTCTGATATTTATCATTTGGCCTCCCTACCCAAGAGAGGGAAGTGAGGGATGGAAATCTCTTAAGAGACAATACATTTAAAAAAAATGTAATTCGATCATATACAGACCCTCTGCAACCCACCTTGTCTCCGCTTATTAGACGTTTAGAGAGAGGGACTCTCATTTTATTTCAGTCCAGGCAAATCCGAACTTCTTTAGTGGCCAATGCCTTCCAAAGGGCACGGGTATGTGCACCTGTGGTTAAGGGTGTCCCGGAGGGGGTGGCCTCATCTTTAGTAAAAAAGCACGGTCACTTAGTGATGGGACAGAGGCAAGAGCTCTGAGGTTGGGAAACATGGGGGTTTGTGTCAAATCTCCACCCATCGTAATCTCCAAGAAAAGATGGGGAGACTGGAAAGATGGAATTTGGGATGGGGAAGCTGTTGTGGAGAAGGAATTCCTCCTGATCCAAGGCAGGTCGACCCCAGGGTGAGAGAAGGAAGGGTCGGGGATGGGCTGAGTTTACTGGGAGTCCCAGGGGACGAACGAAAGGGAGAGCTCGCCATCCTCTGGCCCCCCGCTGGCTCCCCAGTGCGCGGCACCGGCTACTGGCTCTGGGCTCCAATTCCTTAAAAGTGTTGGGAGAGGGCTGAAGTGCAGCACGGCGTCTCCGACTCCCAAGGGAGGGGACGCACACGCGGTGGGGCGGGGAACACCCAGCGCAGAGTGTCGGGCGGCGGCGGTGGGGGTACGATCCCGGCTCTCCCGGGTGCCCCAGCCTTAGCGCACGCCTCCGCTCCCGCGCCCCCCTTCGCAGGCGCGCGCCAGGCGCACCCCCCTTCCCTCGGCGGCGCCGGGCGCGCGCGCGGCCCCCTCCTCCTCCCCTCCGCGCCTCTCCTCTCTCCCGGCAGAAAGTTAGCAGCGGGGAAGGAACTCGGGGCTGCAACAGCGCGCGGCGGCGGCGGCGGCGGCAGGGACTGAAGCAGGAGCCGCGGCGGAGCAGGGGAAGCGGGGGCGCTGCAGACGGAGCAGGTGCAGCCGGCGGGTCCGCGCGCCCCCCTCGGTCCCCTTGCCAGAGGCTGAGGGGGGGGGTCGTGGGGGGCCACCCGGACTCCGCGGGCAGAGTGGGGAGGGGGGCCATGCGGCCGGGCTTCCCCCCGGCGCAGCGGGACAGCGGCCAGGGCCGGGGGCGCAGCGGCGTCGCTTCATGCAGCCGGGGCGGCTGGGCAGCGGCGGCGGCGGCGGCGGGGGCGGCGGCTGAAACCATGTCCGGGCAGCGCCGGGGGCTGCCGCCGCCGCCGCCGCCGCGAGCCGGGAGCCGCGATGGCCCCGTGGCCCGCACCTCCTCCGCCTCCGCCTCCGCCTCCACCTCTGGCCGCGCCGCCGCCGCCCGGCGCCTCTGCTAAGGGGCCGCCGGCGCGCAAGCTGCTTTTCATGTGCACCTTGTCCCTGTCTGTCACCTACCTGTGCTACAGTCTCCTGGGCGGCTCGGGCTCCCTGCAGTTCCCCTTGGCGCTGCAGGAGCCGCCGGGCGCCGCCGCCGAGCCCCCGCCGAGCCCGCCACCACCCTCTCTGCTGCCTCCCCCCGTGCGCCTCGGCGCCCCCTCGCAGCCGCCCGCGCCGCCGCCGCCGGACAACGCGAGCCGCGGGGAGCCGCCCGAGCCCCCGGAGCAGCCCGTCGCCCCCGGGGCCGACGGCTGGGGGCTGGCGAGCGGCGGCGGAGGCGCCCGGGACGCCTGGCTCCGGACTCCGCTGGCCCCCAGCGAGATGATCACGGCGCAGAGCGCGCTGCTGGAAAGGGAAGCGCAGGAGTCCAGCACCACAGACGAGGAGCTGGCAGGCCGGAGAGCGGCCAACGGGAGCAGCGAGAGGGGCGGCGTCGTCAGCACCCCCGACTACGGGGAGAAGAAGCTGCCCCAGGCGCTGATCATCGGGGTCAAGAAAGGAGGGACCCGCGCGCTGCTAGAGGCCATCCGAGTACACCCGGACGTGCGGGCGGTGGGCGTAGAGCCGCACTTCTTCGACAGGAACTACGAAAAGGGGCTGGAGTGGTACAGGTAGGACCCCTCGGGATGGGAGGGACCCCTGGGGAGACCGGGAGGGGAAGCCGCCGCTTTCCGTGCCCTTCGAGATCCAAGAACAGTCCCGGGAGTCCTCTGTCCCTGCGCTGGGGCTCTGGGAGTCGTGGCGGGGTTGCTCAGGGGGAGCTGCTGGACTCAGAGGGCTGGACTCCAGCTTCAGATCACTTTATTTTAGGGCTAGGGGACGTGTCATCCCCGCCTTGCCTGGGGCTTCCCATCTAAAGGGGCGCTTTCTCCATCTACCCAGCTCCAAGCCTGGGGATCCCCGGTCCTCCTGCCTGCGGGGTGTTTCCTAACCCAGGCTTTTGCAGGGCTCTGGGATTCTGTGTGTGGGGGGACGCTGGAGGAACGAGACAGGATAACTAAATTGACGAAGGGGCTTTGAGATCCCCCGGAATCAATCACAATCGCCCTCAAACGCATCTGCGTGGCTGGAATCCAACTTTAGTATTTTAAGGTCAGAGCAAAAATGCACAGGAAAGCCGGTTAAAAAGATGATGCTGGCGCTTTGGCTTTCTAGTAAAGACAGGGTGTTTCCCACCTCCATAACTTTCTGCCCCCCTCGGCTGAATGAACATGGAGTTGCTTTTGCATCAGGAGCCTAAGTGCCTACATGGCAGTTGGTTCCCTAAGAATGTTTATGCCCTGCACTGATGCCCCTTCGAATCTGCAATTCCTTCAGCCAAAATTGGAGGTTGTGAGATGCTCTTGTGAGATGTTCCTGGCCCTTCTTTCCCACCATTTGCTGGTGGTGTGAGTAAGGCAGTATAGAAAGTTAAGTGCAGGTGAAATAAATTAATAATCCACCAATCTTGCCAGCAATAACATTTGCAACAACACTGTACAAATACTCCAAATGCAATCCTTCCTCCCATCCCCTTTCCCTTTTCCCCCCTGTTTCATGTCTTTCTGGAGAACCCATCTGGATGGCCAGCCCCACGGCAATTGCATTTCAATAAATAATTGCAATTGTCAAAACAGAAACACGGCCTTTGTCAGCTAAAGTGATGTTATCATCTTAACAGAGCCAATAGGTAAAATTGTTTCCTGACAGATCGCCTTCCTGTTGAAGAGATGTGCTTTCTAGGTTTAAATTACAGCCTGGGAAAGTTTTAGAAATAACTTAACTTTAAAAATACATAATCAATGTGTGTATTGTGATTGATTTCTTCCACTTTCAAAAATATGTCTGGTGTTGTAAAAGCTTCAGAGAAGAACACTTAGGCATAAGCATTCTAGCACATTATCCCGAAACAGCAAATGTGTCTGTTAATGTCTTGTCTGTTTCAACAGCGAGAACTAATTGCAATATTTTAGGAGGCTTCAAACAGCCCCTTCCTATCAAAACATAAAACAGCAAATGCTTAATTTAACTGGAAAATCAGTATTTATAACATCACAAGCCATGGCTTTCAGTTTGTGATTATAATTTAAAAGGTGTTGGGATGACTAATGCAACAACAAATAAAGACGGGGTACGACGTCTCGGGAGAGTTTGATTGCCTAATTGTTGGTCCTGGGGATGTTCTGGTTTCTTTCTGTGGGGTGGCTTTCGCCTTGTGAAGGTTACTGTGAGTTTTGATTTCCAGTTCTAATTTTAAAGCTGTGTTTCTTGTGAGAAGTGTCAGATGTCTTTTGAGGGAGGCATAAAGATCAAATCTTTCCAACATGTGTTTGGGTTGCTTTGCGGCAGCTGGAAAGAGAGTATGGGTGTTTCATTCAGATGACTTCAAGTGGACCAGGAGTGCTGGGTGGGGTGCCATGGTGAGGTCTGGGTAATTTTTTGAATCAAAGGAAAGCAGATGCCAGACAGTCCTATGTTCCTTTGGTACATAGACTTGAAGGTACATAAACTATCTCCCTGTCACACCGCAGCTACTGAAGATATTCCAGCACTGTGGTGTGCCAAGCCTCCTGTTCCCTGCCAATGCTTGTGATCTTTGGGGATTAGTGTCACTATTTGGTGGGCCATGCATAGAATGGTTAACCTCACGAGGTGCGGAGAGGGGTGAGATATGCTTGGTCCTCACTTGAGGGGACCATGGGACATCTCTGTGCCTTCCATTGCTCACCCAGCATCTAGCCCATGACAGAGCCCCATCATGCTGGGTGGTCCTGATTGGAAGTGTGGGAGAAGATCCTCTCAAGAACAACTTTCCTGCTAATACTTGTCTATCCGACATAGAGGGAATCATTCGTCACTCAAGCTGGCTGGTGTGCACGCTCCTGGGCTCCTAGAAGCAGAATGTGCTGGTCCCGGCCTTGAACAGGCAGATGACAGTGCTGTCAGGGAATGTGTAAGACTTCTCATTAGTTCCTGGTCTCCTGGCCTCTCCGATCCCTCTTTCCCATGTAGGAGGAGCGGATGGACAAACAACCACACTATATTGTAGAAACGGAAGTGGTAGCATGGATTCAAACCAATAACAAATACCTCATTGTTCCAGTCTTGAGTCTTTGAAAATGATGCCCTTCCATGGCAAAATCCCTTCCCGTACATACCAGGTGAGCTACCTGGACTCTATTTGTCCGATGAGAGATCCAGAGGTTAATTTATGCTTTTGATTTCCCCCGATTTATGTATTGACTTCTGATTATTTTTAATGTGTCTCTGGTAGCCGACTGATCCTGCACGCGGTTCTGGTTTTTTCTTGTTCATAGCAAGAGCCAAGAAGAAACTGGGGCGGCTGTCACTTCTGCCGTCTTGGGGTTTCCTGATACTCCACTAATCAGCCTGAGCCGTTTTATTTCCTTCCCGTCACTCCAGTTATCTCTCAATCCGGGTTTTGCTTTGCTCCTATGCTGTTGATCTAATGTGATGTAAAAACACATTTGAGATTAGAACATGTGCTTTCGGTTCTCAGGGCAACATTGACTAATGGATTAGGTGGTGTGTGGTGAGGCTTCGCAGAAGCCGGCCTCCCTCGGAATATTGACACGGACCAGTGATTAATAAGTTGGGGAAGATTCAATCCACCACTCATCCCTTCCTGTCTTTCCGTGGGATCTGGTACAAGTTGTCTGGGCAGAGATCTTGAACTATTGCAAGGGACGGGACCTGGAGGAAGGTCCCTGGCTGCCACAGCATGACTCACCAAAGTGACAAAGTGACATGACTGGTGTCTTCCCCTGTGGTTTACATGATGAACTGTTCTCCAGGGGACCCCTTGGAAAGAGGTGCCCCATTTACCTTCACTCACTGACTCAGGGCAATCTCTCCAAAGCCACACTCCTGCTGCCCCACCCTGGGGGAGATGGACAGTAACAGCAGCGTTATTTGCACGCGTCACCCAGAGAGAGAATGAAGGACGGAATCGCTCTGGCATTGACAGAAGTGCCAGCCAGTGTGGTGGCTTGCACTTTGTACACGTGTTTTCACATTTAAGTGTCGCAGTAGTGCTGTGAGCTAAATAGCAGCATCTCTGTTTTATGGGCGAGATTTTCCATTATTCCAGGGGAGGGTGAACGACTGTTTCAGGGTCGCAGACTGGCCAACTCCTGGGCGGAGATTTGAACCCACATCTGTCCGTTTCACCATGCTTTGTGTCCCTCTGCGGCTCCGCTACGCAGCAATTACTAGGAAGGTCATGTACGGTTTTCATTCTTCCATTCAACAAATATTGAGTGGATGCTGACCGGGCACCTGGCACTGTCTTTGGTACCGAGGGTCAAGTGGAAAATAAGACAGATCAAGCTCCTGTTCTGGAACTGGTCCCTAGAGTCAGGGAAACAACAAACAACAAGGCAAATGATTCGGAGAAAAAAATTCTGGTTGGGATAAAGGCTACGGAGACCAGCTAGAGTCAGCAGAGGCTCGGAGTGCCTTTGTCTGGTGGGGTAGCTACTGTCCACCTCTGGCCATTGACCACAGGAAATACCCAAATTGAAATAGATTGTAGGTGTAAAATACACAGAGTGCCAAATGGCTCATTAGGGATTTTATGCTGAGTACATGTTGAAATTGCAACATTCTTATTCGCTTAAATATATTGTTAATTCCATCTCTTTACTTTTTAAATGTGGCTACTTGAAATTTTACAAGTAGACTCATGATTCGCATTGTATTTCTATTGGGCAGTGCTTGTGTAGGTAGTGCTTTTTAAATTTTAAGAATATATGAATCACCTGGGGAATCTTGCTAACATGCTGATCCTGATTCTGCCACTCTGAGCAGGGCCTGAGATTTTCTTTGCATTTCAGAAATGCTTCTAGAGGCTGTTGATAGCGGGGCCTCACTTTGAGGTGCAAGGGGCCTAGAGAGTAATTGTCGTGTGAGGGTGTGGGCATATGTGTGTGTGCGTGCATATGTGCTATTTTAACTAGTCTGATTAGGAAAATATCTCACTGTGGAGGTGATGCAGATGAGGTGAAAGAGTAAGACCCTCCCATGTAAAGAGGTTGCAGAGGTTTCCACGTAAAGGAAACAGCAGATGCAAAGGTCCTGGGGTGGAAAAAGCTTTGTGGCCCTGCGGAGTGTTGATTCAATATTGGAAAAACACTGTAGGGGGATGAAATTGGGTTCAGAGCTGGCTATTTGGGTGATCTTGGTTGGATAACTTAGCTTCAGTGGTTTATCGGAGAGTAATTTAGGAACAAATGAAATAATAAAAGTGAATGTATTTCTAGACAAAAGAGTATCCTGGAGCCCAAATCCAAGTAGACCTGACCACGAGGTGTTCCTATTTCTCAGATGATTGTGTTCACTTACATGCCTTACATTTTATTACTGATATGTTGACTTATGATTTGGGAAAAGCTCACCCATGACTGGCTTTGGGCCTCCATCTGCTTAATCTTTCCGACTCAGAGCCGCAGACTCAGACGCCTTCGGGGCCCCTGCAGATCAATCTGAATGAGGCAAGCAGACTAAAGTGGGTAGGAACTGGAGGTCTCCTGTGGTGACGAAGGGGCAGCTGCTGCCCTGTTCCATCTGCCCTGTGCCACCGACGAAGGAAGCATCCGGGTGATCAGATCTT